GCCTGCACCTTCTATTTAAAATCCAAGGGAAGCCGACATTTGCTGCCCTGTAGACCAGGCCCACGTCATTCTCAGTCCTGCTCAAACCAAGAAGGACGCAAAGAACCAGTAGTATAACTAGGGGGGGACGAGCCTGGCACCAGCCCTATGTGCCAGCTTACAGGAGGTGCCAGAACGGTGGGTGTCTGCACAGAAAGTCTGCAGTGTGGTGACAGCAGCTGTAGCTGGGTGCAGGGCCACCATGTCAGCAGCAGTTGGGGGTGAGCAGACCACACTGTGGCAGTGTCAGCCAGGACCTTCGAGTCCCTGGGGGCAGGTCAGGCTGACCCCCACACCAACACACACTCTTCAGCAGGGTTTTGCCCAGGGTGCAACACTTGTTAGTTATGCCTCTATACAGAGCTACTATATATGATGTTAACCTGAGCTACTTCCAGAACTAAACTACTGAGGCCCTTAATGTGCTTGACTTGACTGCCATGATTGAGATATGTGAGCCTGCTCCTGGAAATAACCTTATCTAAAGCTTTGCATGAGGTGGGGCCTATCCTTTTTGGTTGTGAAAGTGGTTCCCTTTGCTATTTTAAAAGTGTTTTATCTCCCCCTTTCTCTTGGTGCAGCCTGGCACTTGATAGCTGATCAACGAAGTAGTGAAACCTGCAGAATATGAGGTCTGTCAAGGATCTCTGCAAACCTTTCATCCCCTGCTTAGTCCTGCTCTTGGGGAGTCGGAGTAATAGCTGCTGACTAAATATAAATAGATATATATATCTATATATCTATATAAATAAATATATATGCATTATGGGAAGATATAGAGAGATAGAGATATCTCTATCTCTATCTCTATATATAAATATATATAGAGATATCTCTAGCTCTATCTCTAGCTCTCTCTCTATCTCTATATAGAGATAGAGATATAAAGATATCTATATATATATATATAGATACATCTATATATAGATACAGATATAGAGATATATAGATATCTACATCTATCTAGATAGATATAAAGATAGGCTGTGGCTTAAAGAAATCCCTTCTGCTCTTTTTTTTTTTTTTTTTTGGAGACTGATTGCCTTATGTCCTGATCCTGAAAATGCCCCAGTGCAGGTACTCTGTGGTACTCGGTATAGATGCAGGAATCACCCCTCAGCGTGGGGTTTTAAAGGCCAATTCTGCAGCCGGCAGCACATGGGCACAACAGTTCGAGACTGTAGCTTTAAACCACACTGCCTCCATCCTTGGCTGACAGAAATGAGAGCTCTGGGGGGTCTGCCTCTCTCCAAGAACTGTTTTAGCAGAGCAAGAATTCCTGAGCAGTTCTTCCCCGTTGCGAGCCAGGCTTGTCCCCTTTCTTGTTTGTTCAATATGTATCATTATTACTGTATTTATTTGAATCCAAGATGAGATCCACCCCCGTCCAATATGGAGGGGGTGTCCTGTCGTCTTGGATTTGAGTACAAGGTGGCGGGGTGCAGGCAGCTGCTGTGGCTCTGACTCTGGCCCTGAGCCTGCCCCTCTCCCCTTCCACCTGCCCCCTGCAGCTCCTACATCCCTGTCTACCCCCCACAGCCTCTGCCTCCTTTCCCACCCCCACCCTACTCCTTACTGTCAGGTGCAGCTCTGGCTCCGTTCTCTCCCTGGTATGGTGCACATAAAAGCTCTGACCCGTGCCTGGCCGTGCAGCAGCAGTGGTAGCTCTGGCCACAAGATGCTGCTGTGTGGCCAGGCAGGGGCTTACTTCCATGTGCTCTATGCCCCAGGAGCTTTGTTTAACAGTAAGAGGGACACCAGGTCAAAGACTATGGGGAGGCATGGGCTGGAAGGGCAAGGGTTGTGGATGGCAGGCAGGATGCACTTGCTTTGGGGTGCAGGGAGGGCTAATGGCAGGAGATGCAGTCACTGTGGGAGGAGCAGATTGCAGGGGGACCTAGGGGGCAAGGGGGCCACCTACCTCCCCCACTATATTACCCCCTGCCACTGTTTTCCTTGCTGTAACCATGGGTGGGTGGAGATTTATAGCAACCCTCTGCACGTTAGATTCTATATATGGAAAATGATAACAAATGTATAATTTTCCCATAAATAGAATCTAATTATTGGAGGGTCTTCTTAAATCGGAAGTCACCTTGGATTCAGGTAAATATGGCATTTTGTAATGATAACAATATATCGATGGGCAGCTTCTTACCTGTCAAGCTGAGTTTTAGTTCCTTTAAAGAAAATTAATTCAAAGCTGTGTCCAGTACTGTCTTATTCCTGGTAGGTTCTTACCCTATGCTCATCACCACCATAGCTGAGCATCTTCTCATAATGCATTAAGTGATATAACTAGTCTCTCTTGTAATGTTGTTTTCTCATCCTCTCTTCAGGGGCAGAAGCATGTACAAGAGTGTGTCTTGTTTTTACACTTTAAAAAAAATGACTTCAGGCTACATACTGCTTTGTATATATGTTAAAGCAGGCAAGGTCAAAAAACACAGGACTTGAAGCAGAAGGTGGTGGGGCTTATGATGGAAATGTTCCTCCCACACCAGCCCAGAGAAATTTGTCTCCTGAACAAACTTTATTTTTACGGTAGAGAGTCTTGCTGGGTCAGATGTGTGAAGATGTATACCAGGATCATCATCTCCGAGCGCTAGCCAAGATTTTCTGTTCTGGGCTCAGGCTATGTAGCACCTCTACAATAGTAGATAAGTCCTTGAACCTGACTTAGTATCTTCTAGGAAGCCAATGTAGAGAGTGGAAAATAAGTCTGATGCATCTGCAGTAGTTTGTGTTGCATTGGTTGATACTGGTTTGATATTGCATTGGTTGCTGCTAAGAAATGCACTGTAGCATTCCTTACTGACTAGCAGTCTTAAGTGCTGAAGGCTTCATTCCCAGGTGTACCACACTGGTCTAGTCCAGATAAGAAGTGATGAAGCCCTCATTATTTGTCAGGGTGGAATGGAGTCTTTTAGGTAGCAGAAAGGGACAGAAAACTTCTCTTGGGTGCTGCTATAATAGAGCTTAGCATCCATTATTCAGGAAGACTGTACTGTGGACTGGATCGACCACTTCTAGGTTTATACCTTCACACAAAGAAGGCTACAACATGGCTGTGAACTCTTGGGAAGGCTCTCCACTGTTCACCAACATCGTTTCTCATTCTTGGGTTCAACAACATCCTGCTGTTCTTCATCCATGAGCTGATCCAGTTTGAGGAATGTGATACTGCTCTTGATACTTGTTCTTGATGCTATCGGGGTTGCCAAAAGTGAAGACTACAAAGGGATGCATTTCAGCAACAGCATTCCTTTCAGTCCCTGTTGTCGGACCACATCATTTATTGACTGCATATAGACATTGAGAAGGACTGGAGGAGAATTAATCCTTGTGGGGTCCCGTGAGCAAGGGAACGAGTTGTAGAAGTGCAGTTGCCCACCATTCTTTCTCTTTGAAGGAAGAACCCAAACCATCAGTTTAGTGCATTTCCATGGATCCCTTCCACCTTTCTTAGGACAGCATATCATATCAAAAGTGTGTAATGCTGAGAGAGGTCCAGGGGCATGAGAATGAGTTTTATTCTGTACATCTTGACAGAAGGGGATAATTTGTTAGTCCTGGTCTGAACCCAGAAGCTACCAAGTCTAGAGTAGATGATTTTGTATTTCGTCTTTGCCCAACTTCTCTATGAATTTACTCAGGAATGGGAGGCTTGGCACTGAGTGAAACCTGGCTCGATCATGTATTCCTTCAGTCTTGGTCACATTAGTGCATGCTAGAAGGAGGACGGAGAGATTCCTTCCCTGAACAACATGTTTGCCTATTTTAGTCAGGAGTGACACCGCTTGTTCATGACTCTTGCAAGCCAGGAAAGATACCTCCTGGTATACAACTTCACTCCTTTGGCCCAGTGAGACTCTGTACAATAAAAATAAAGTTAGGATATAGTTGGCAGAGGATTTTAAAGCAAGAAATGTGTGCAAGGAATTGTAGGCTTTTCATGGACAGAAAAAAGTTGAATGAACTGAATGCCTTGTCTGCTACACATTGCTCAGCCTAGTCTAAATGTATGTGGAACCTGCCACCTGGTATAGAAAAAGACAAATTCTGCATCTATATGCTCTGTTGACTAAGCACGTAGGGTGGGATTTTTAAATATGCTCGTGTCCTGTACTCAAGTCATGTCTCTATGATCCCACTGAAGTCTAGGCCAGTTCTGTCATTGACTTCGGAGGCCAAGGAGTTATGCCTACCATAACCATGTCAAAACTCCTACCCCTGGCATTTATGGATGCGGACAATTGGACTATTTGTATTTGTTACTCACATAAGTGATTTGGGGTCCTTTAGTGCCCTTACAGATGTAACATGGGAGTTTTTAGCATAGCTTCTGTGTTTGATTGCTTTACCCACTTACTGCTTTTTGATAATATGGAAAGAATTTTTAAACTAGGTCGGACAGGGAGCCAGGACACGCTGCAGCTTCTGTGCCTCTGCACTTGACTGATGTTTTTTCAAAAGATTTGACATCCTGTTCCCAGGCAGTGTGAGCTAAGCTGCAGAGATAGCTATAATCGACTGGTGCTGATAAGAAGGTTACACAAATCACTGATGTTTCAAGAAAGCAAGGCTGGCTTGGTTCACTTAACGGCATGTGCCGGCATCACAGTTTGCACCATTTGCCTTGTGCGATTGAACCTTCAGCGAAGAGTCAAGAACTGAATGATCTGCTCTTTGTGCCGTGAGAAATGGGCACCTTGCGCATTAAAACTGTGTTTATAGAAAAGGACCTTCTATTAATGGATCATTTCTTTCCTATGGAGAGAAGAAAGATCATCCAGTGGTTACTCTGCAAGTATGCGCTATGGGGAGGAGGACCTAGGGTTAAGAGCGTTCCCAGGACATATTGCAATTTAATGGCAGCTCTGGTTTGTATCAGGCTGTTTTCTGCTTATCTATGTCTTGTACTGTTAATATGCTAAGTATTTCTGCCTCTTTCTTTGCAGTGAACAAGTATGTGGTCAGAGTGTTTACTGGTGATCTTAGTGGCAGTGGAACAGATGCTGATGTTTACATTAATATCTTCGGCAAGCACGGAGACACAGGTATTCATATGCAAATTGTTTCCTAAAATACTTCTTCCTGCTCTGCAGGCCTGATAGCTGAATAACAAACAGCAGCACTCTGGAAAAATTCAGAATGATTTGGCTCGGTGAAAGGGACAGCAAATGGCTTTGTCTACTGTAGGATTTCTCCGACCCGTAATTCCCAGCAGGTGCAGCTGCAAAGCAGCAGTGGAGGCTGGAATGCAGACAAAGCGCGAGCATTTCTATCACTGTATCTTCGTGCGCGCTCTCTCTCTCTCTCTCTCTCTCACACACACACATTCACACACACAGTCACAGACACACACGCACACTCACACATGCATACACACACTCATACACACTTACAGTTACATTCTCACACACACACACGCAGTCACATACAGACACACACGCACACTCACACATGCTCACACACTGACGCACACAATGAGTGAGAAATATAAACCAGTGCAACGGGGAAACAATCCACACACGTACCTGTACAGGTACAGAGGATGGGATGTCGGAGAGCCTTTTTGTATAGCTGGGAGGAGAATTTTATCTACATGATGTATTTGACGTCAAAATTGTGAACTATGGTTGGATCTCTCTGTTCAGTTAAAATTCTTGACTCAGTTAACACTTTATCAGGTGATTTGAATTAAATGGGGATAAGTTGCAGTTTAGGAGACAGAGGTTGTATCAAAGTATAAGTGGCAGGTACTTGATTTTTAGTCATCATTATTTTACTTTAGCTGAATAATAACTAGAGGTGAATCCAAACCAAAACCCTAGATCTACCTCTATGGCAAAGCCCTAAAAGCTGTGGTGGAAAATGATGCCCTTTCTACAGTTTAACTTTCCTATTGAATTTAATAGAAAATGGCCTTGCTTTTGTTGAAATCTCCAGAATTCTTCATTGAAACTATGGAAAGTAGAAAATATAGACTTTTAGTAGAACGCATAGGGAGCACTACTGGTTTCGTCCCTTCTCAGTTCCTTAAAACTTAAGGCAATAATATTTGATATTCAAACCTGGATCCTAAATCCATAGCTAGTTTAAGATGTTTCCCTTTCTTTATAATAATTGGAAGGCCATACCTGCCTTCACATTTCCCTAGGATTTGGCATTCTGCTGTGTGTGTTCACACCTCTGACTTCTGAAAGCAGACCTGTTTGAAAGGCTGCAGTGGACAACAGCGTAGGAGCCTTCCAACCATGCACCATACCTTTTCCCACACCACACATAAGGCATGTACCGCATCTTGGGGAAGGCAGAATTAAAAAACAGCAGAATTGTCTAGCATTATGGTCTCAGAGGGTACATCTACATGGCACCCTGCAGGACGTGCTGGGGAATGCCGTGCTCCAGGTGCACAACCCCCTGCAGCAGTGACGGGGTTTCGCACCTTGGGCTTCTCCCAGTGCAATGGGACCCTGGATGGGACCCACTTCCCCATCACCTGCCCGCCCCACAGTGACCGCCCCTACTACAGCTGGTAAGGCTTTCACTCTGTTGGGCTCCAGGCTGTTGGCAGCCACTGTGGCAACTTCACCAACATGAGTGCCGGCTAGGTGGGCAGCACCCACGATGCCTGCGTCTTCCACAACTCCGCCCTGCCAGCCCTGGTGGAGAGCGGGCACTTTGCACTGGGGGTGGAGGACACCTGGTAGCGGGAGTACCAGCTGCAGTGGCAGTGACAGCAACAGGTCCTTCCCATCAAGGCCCCAGGTGAGCTGCTCACCCAGCAGTGGGGGCCAGGGCACTGGGTGCAAGAGGCGCCGGCCAACCACCTCCTTCTGCACTCCCTGGTGTAGGCTACCTGGATGGCTGCCCACAAACCCCAGCCCTACTGCAGTACGCACCCCCAGCACCACACTCACTGCAGACAGCTCTCAGAAAAGCACTTTATGCCCCTCCACCAGCACAGAGGCACCCCCGTCTTCCCTCCCTCCCCAACGACAGAGACCCTCTTGGCGTGTGGTGTCAGGGATGGCACCAGCATGAATAGCCCACAGGGTCTCCATGCGACAGTCCAGGAGCTGCCAGGCTTGGGCAGATGCCTGCAGCACCCAGCACAGGGGCATGGCACAGGACAGGCAAGCAGGTAGCAATGCTATGCCAGGGACCAGCGCCGGTGTCTGGGCAGCTGCTGCGGCTGCCTGGGGGCCTCTGCTGCATCACCTGGTGGCCAGAGGCTGGTTGCAGGTGGCTCAGGGTGGTGCCAGGCCTTGGCAGGTACCTGCAGCACCCAGTGGAGTGAGATGGCACAGGACAGGCAGGTACGCAGTGATGCTGTGACAGGGACCAGCACTGGGGTCCAGACAGACTGCTATGGCTGCCTGGGGGCCTCTGCTGTGGGACCAGATGGCCAGAAGTTGGCTGCAGGTGGCCCAGGGCACTGGTATCCCTGCAGCCTTTTAAGGGCCAGGGGCTGGGCAGGCAAAAAGCTGCCCCAGCCCTGGGGCTGGAGAAGGTCTCAGCCCTGTAGTCCTGAGGTTCGCCCAAGGGTGGTTCCCTGGTGGTGGGGCTGACTAGGAGCAATTTGCTCCCGGTCAGTGTTTACAAGTGTGTTAGTGTGCAGTAACTACTTTGCAGTTAATTTGCTACCTGCATTTGCTGGCACCGGAGAGTAGACCAAATTACTGTGCAATAAAGCATCTTGTGTAGATGCACCCAGAGAGCATGGAAAGGTGTAATCTTCAGTTCATTCACCCTCCCTTTCCTTTTGAGAAAAAAAATCCCTTTCTTTTTGAATGGAGTTGTCAGTAGCTCTTGGTAGCTCTGCCAAAAGCTGAAACTGAAGCTGCTGCTGAAGACCTCAGATCTAGGATGTTGTGGCCACCTACAAATTCATCCAGGGGTTGGGGGAGACAGAAAGGAATAGGGGATAATCTGTTTACCAGAGTGCCCCTTGGGGTTACTAGGAACAACATCCATAAACTGACGGATAGCAAATTTAGATTAGACATTAGGAAAAAATTCTTTATGGTAAGGGTTGCTAAAATCTGGAATGGGCTTCCAAGTGAGGTGATGACCTCCTCTACCTTGGAGGTCTTTAAGAGGAGACTGGACAAGCACCTAGCTTGGATCATCTGACCCCAGCGCTCTTTCCTGCCCAGGGCAGGAGGTCGGACTTGTTGATTTACTGAGGTCCCTTCTGACCCTAAAAATCTATGAAATCTATTAAATCTATGAGAAGAGCTACAAATGGTCTACAGGGCTGTGAAATAGGAAAAGAGAGACCAGGAGTACCTAATGTGCAAATTCTTCAGCAACATTTCCAAAGAAAGAAAAGCTTGATTGGTGGAACATCAAGACCATTGAAAAGGAGAGTGGGTTATTTTAGCAGGTTTGGCACTACGATGCCAAGTCTGGGGCCTCTTGTAGTCAGCCCTAATTGCTATGCCCTCTGATCTCTTAGATAGCTCCCCTTTATCCTTCCTGTTCCATCTTTTGCTGTTGTTTGTTATTGTAATATGGGAGTCTGCTCTCAGTCACCAGAATTGCACCTTTGATGCCTTCCATCACCCTGAACATCATGGATGGCCTATCTGGCTCAATCAGCCATCTTTCTAGCAGGACCCTGCCAACCGCTGCCTACTGGCCTCCCAGGTTCCCTTCTCTCTGTTGGTTTTCTACAGCCTGCATAGGCCCAGCTGAACTGTGGACCTCTTGGCTTGTAACTGCACCCTAATTGCTGTCAAGCCCACCTCTTGGTTTCAGGGTCTGGACAAGACCATGTAGCCAGTCTCAGTCCCAGGTCTTCTCACCTGGAATCCACCCTTAATCAGGACTTCAAGGCTTCCAGTCTTGAAGCCATCCCAGCTTCCACTAGTTCTGCTCACTTTGTTCCCTGGGCTCTCTACTGCTACTTGCAAGCCTCCTCCACAGGGTGCTTAGCTCAGGTATTGGCCCTCAGCTCAGGTATCGGCCTCTCCATCAGGCGCTCGGCTGGATATTGGCCCTCTCCACAAAGTGCTCAGCTTCGGTATTGACTCTCTTGCCCTCTCCATTATGCACTTGACTCAGGTATCAGCCCTCTTGCCCTTTCCACTGGGTGCTTGGCTTGGGTATCAGCCTTCTCTGCCAGTCACTCAGCTCGGATATTAACCCTCTCACCCTCTCCACCAGGCTCTCGGCTCAGATATCAGCCTTCTCACCTTCTCTTCCAGGCACTTGGCTCAGGTATTGACCCTCTCCTCCAGGTGCTCGGCTTGGGTATTGACCCTCTCCGCCAGGCACTTGGCTTGGGTATCAGCTCTCTCTGCAGAGTGCTCAGCTTGGGCATCAGCCCTCTCCCCTTCTCTGCCAGGCGCTTGGCTCAGGTATCAGCCCTCTTGCCCTTTCCCTCACGTGCTCGGCTTGGGTATTGGCTCTCTCCCTAGGTGTGCTTGCACACACTCTCCTCTGCATGCTGAACCACTCTGCCTCTCCCAGACGGTCTACCATGGCACTCCTAGAGTGCCTTCCAGAGCAGCTTACTCTTTCCTTGGCATATAATTGCCCAGTATCCTCTCTGTCCTGGTCAGAGCATCCATAGTGTCCTCTCTAGGTGTCCCTAGTGTCCTCAAGGGGCCAATGCCCTCTGAAAACCAGCCTTCAGAAGGCAATTGTTAGTAGCCGCTATGTTCCTCTGAGGAGCCCATGCTTCCCCCCATTTTGGAAGACTAAATTGTGGGGAGGAAGATATGCATGGTACGAAAGTAAATCCCAGCGCAGTATTTTGGACTGTTTGAGGGCCACATTGGAGAGAGAATCCTGCCTTTTTCTTTCAAAAGGGGAGGAGTTTTCTATTTAGAGTCTAAAGTTGATACCTTTATGCCTTCTCCTTTCCACGGAGAATCACTGCTTGGCTTAATGGCTATTTCAGGGTGGCTCTGCTAAACGCAGAATTTGTGTGTAGAAGTATTTACTGATGCTCTGAACTACCATTTCCATTTCATTCACCATTTTTGTTTAACCTTGTTTTTCTTTAGGGGAGAGGAAATTGGACAATGACAAGGACAACTTTGAAAAGGGAGCTGAGGACAAGTTCACTCTGGATGCCCCAAACTTAGGAAAATTAAGAAAAATTTCCATAGGCCATAACAACAAGGGGGGCTCTGCTGGCTGGTTCCTTGCCAAGGTTTGTTATTCGTTAGAGATACAACAGGATCACAATATCTAACTGTGCCGCTGCTCACTGGTCTGATACCAAGAGATCAAAATACTTGCTGGTAATTGGGTATTTCAGATTCTCTGTGACCCAGAGCAGCGTGGGTCAAATATTTGGTTCTCAAAGCAAATACTGGGAACCACATCCATGTCCTCTGGTATAACTGATTTTTGTGCCTGAGTTTGGTACTTGGGAAGGGGAGCAAAGGGCTAGCACACTGGCAGAAGTTGAGTGCATCCTGGGATGGCAAACACTTCCCTTACCTGCCTTCCCAGTGCTCCTCCTCAGTCATGTCCTGTGACATCCTAGTCCTGAGCCTATTCTAAACGGAGGCTTTCTTTCATGTGGCCCCATGTAGGAGCTGTGGCAGAAATGCCACCGTCGGTGCCCCGCCACAGGAGCCAGGATTTAATTAACTGTCAACATTTGTCCTAAGTCAGCACTTGCATCCTAGAGTATGGAGGTGTAAGTTTAGGGCCAGGCAAAGTGGATTTAGGCACCTAAATGCAATCCTTTTCCCAGTCCTTTAGAAAGCAGTGATGTACCAATGTCAGTAACATGTCTTCATCTTAGCCTTAAGGCTAAGTCACCAAAATCTGCAAAGAGAAGGAGGACCCACCGTCTTCTGTGTTAGCACTTTTTCAGGGACTCAAGGAAGATGGAATATGATTTCTTTTAGGTACCTAAGTCTACCTAGGTGCCCAAAAGGTGGAATAGGATCCAATCCTAGGTGAACTGCCCCTTCTGTTTTCAGCTCCCCACATGTCCTGCTCTCTTCATCGATTCTTCCAGGGAACAGAAGAAGTAGCCATGTTCATGACAAACACCTACAGTTTGGGTCAATGCACATTCGTCACCACTTAGCTCCCATGCAAGCCCCCAGAATTGCTTAGTGGCTCTTCTAATTGCTTAGGTTTCTTAGTGGCCTTCTACAAACCCCATTTGGGCTCACCCCTAATCCGGTCCTCATTTGTTTATGCATTAGGAGCAAGGTGCTAGTTACAGGATGCAAACCAGACTTTGCTGCTTGCTCAGTTAATGCTCTGAATGCAGAGGTATTCATTCCTTCATAGGCTTTTTCTACTAGGCTCATAACTATGGTACCTGAGTGTTTCACCTGTGTTCATGAATTCATCCCCACTGCACCCTGGTGTTGCAAGAGGGCAATATTATCCCCATTTGACAAACAGGTAACTGAGGCACAGAGAGATTGAGGTCAAAAGCGTCCACTAGTTTTGGGTGTACAAATTTAGGATCTCATTTTTAAGAGTGCTCGGCATTTCTTTAATATACTGCATGTTCAAAGCACTGCTCCTCGGTTCCACTTGCAGTTAGGAGCGTTCAAAACTTCTGTAACTCACACCGCCGGGTCTCAAGATGGGCCCCCACAGCAGTCGTGCCCTTGTGGACGGGGGGCACAAACTGGGGCAGCAGCCCCAGGTGCTGCCTTTGGGGTGGGGTGCAAAAATAGTCTTGACCACAGCTGATCACATCACTGCAGTTGGTAACCAGACCTATCCCAGGTATCGCGTGGTTACCCAGGGTGCAGAGCTGCCTGGCTATGCCTCTGCCCTAGAGCATGAGGACAGAGGGCTCTCCTCTTCTCCTAGGTCATGATGGTGAGTTGCTACCCTAGAAATGCAAGTAGTGCACTGATCGGGATTGTTTCTGTGGTTGACATTAAAGCTTATCACTTAAAATGCCCGGGGGCAACAGAGATGGAAAAGAGAGCTCCTGGGGAGTCTCTCTGATAACTGGGAGCAGTCCACAGAAGAGGAGTGTCACTTTGTCGCTATATAAATAGTTTCTGCGTGACAGACTTTAGACCCACTTAGATCAGGTCGATTGTGTCACGGACTCCAGGGAGAGGAGAAAAGGCAGCTGAAAGCTAATCTTATGCCTTTCAGCTGCAATCAGTAAGATGTGTGATTGTAAGTGAAGCTGTTTCTATGCTGGGGGCTTGACTTCTGCTGAACAAGTGTAAAGGAGCCCATGTTTCAAGAGGTGCCACAGTCTAGCTTTATCGTGGCTAGTGAAGCAAACGCTGCCATATCTGGGTGAATGTATTAAACGGTCGTCCAGCTCAGGCATCCAGAGATTTGGATGGTGCTTTCTAGTTGTTAATGCCCATAGTCACCTCACCAGCTCTAACCTCTTTATTCAAATGCTCTTTTATATTTCATGTGAGTCTGAAGAGACAGTTTATCACGGGTTTCTCTTCACCATTGATATTTCTACCACTGCTGCTCTGGGAATTACTACAATGGATACTCATAACCCATAGGTACTTAAATGCAGTCTTTATAAGGCTCCAGCACACCCACAGCAGCCCCATTTCTAGTCCCATATGCCCATCTACAATCGTCTTGCACACCAAGGAGAAGCTCTGATTTCAATGTGAGGACGTGCAGGTGGGACCTGGAGCAGTGACAGGCAAGTTCTTAGATGAGTGATAAATCGGGAACTTCTGGTGTCCGGCTTCCAGAATAAATATACTTCCAGCCTCTGCCCCGCTGGCATTGACAGCTAGGGGAAAGTGAGAGGAAAGAAAATCCTGCCTGTCTAAGATATTCTGGATGTAAGTGGAAATTTCACATCTAGGTGAAAAATAGAATATTCCCCCCCCACTAATAGCTTGAAATAGTGGTGAGCTAGAGGGGTTTTGAGCATACATAGAAACTGCCTGACCTGCTCATATCCAGTAATCCCTCTCCGGCGGTTAGGGATATTTGAACAGAAGGTGCAAGAAACTCCGAAGTAGATAACAATGCACTAATCTGGCCATGCAGGGCAAGTTCTTTGCTTGGCTTAAATCACTGTGAAACATCTACCCGGGGACTGAAAGTCATGTTCTCCCTAATTTGCAGCTCTCTCTAAGTGAAATTAGAACTCGTGGCTTTGCACAGTAGAGAGGGGCTAGGATGCCCATAGAGCTGAGAAGGAAGGAAGTGGTTAGTATAATATAGGAATCAGTGGGTAGGATTTTAGGACCTCTGTTATACATTAGTATCGGCCTCACTGATCTGTTCAATCAGAAAGAGGCCTCTGGTGATAACCATCCAAGCCCTGTAACTGCAATAAGAGAGCCCAGCCCCAAATGAGAACAAAGGGTTTCCATCCAGCTGGAGGATGGAGAGACGCCAGCAAGCTGACTCAAGAGAAGCAAAGCAGGCCGGCCAGATGGTCTTGCTTGCAGAGGCAGCTGGCCTTGCATAGGAGGCAGATCCTGACAGCGCTCACTAGACAAAATAGCCAGTTTTACTAGGCAATTGTCTGGCACTTCATCAGTAACTGTCAGGGATGGGGGTCTTGATTTCTATTAGATCCATCCAAAGCCTGATGAAACTGAATACTCCAAATGATGCTGCATCTCTGCTGTGCTCTTTGCTCTCCTCTCTGTGTAACACCCCCTCAGCTGTATTTTTGTCTCCGGTATAAATTGGCTCTCCTCTTCTCCTAGGTCATCATTGAAGACATAGGCAATAAAGCTGAGTATGAATTCCCATGCAACCGCTGGTTTGCGTTAGATGAAGATGATGGGAAAATTCAGCGGGACATTCTTGTGGGAGGCATGGAGGCCACAGGTAAAGGCAGTGGGCCCAGTCCAAAGTGGGATGAGAAAGGTGCAAAGCCCGGGTAAGAGGGTTTGCTTGTAGTAAAATGGAATCTATTGAATGGAGCTGGGGATGGGAATGTCAGTCACATAGCTAAATACTGGCTTTTTTCTCTTTGTATATGTGGGGTTGCACTATAGGCCGTGTGTAGATGAAACAAGGGGCATGTGTGCGTGACACTTTAAAGCTGGCTAAATGCTTTTGCACTGCTATAATGGCATCAGTGTTTGCATGCATCGGTGACATATTGCACATTAATTCAAGCCGCTGTAGGAAATTCGGCGGGGTAGTGCACCTTAAATGACTTGGGGCACAGCAAACTAAAACTCCTTCGAGGAGTTTTAGTTTGCTGCCCTTACAGCCGCAGAGCAAAGCACCGGGCTCCGTGCAGCTCAGGGGCTTTGCAGGAAGCCCTGCAGGCAGCCTGGTAGCAGCCTGGCAGGCTCCCCACAAGAAAAGTGGCAAGCCTGATCTATTTTTTTTTTCTTTTCCCCTTGGAGCCTGCCTGCCTGAGCTGTGCGGGAGCCTGGTGCTTCCCTCCACGGCTGCAGTGCCCTCCAGGACCACCTGAGCTGGGTGCCTGTGGCCCAGAGCTGCCTGCGGGGGGGCCACCGCTGCCACGGAGGGAAGCACCAGCTCCCTTTGCAGCCCAGGGACTGCTCTGCCCACTGGCAGCTTGCCCTCCCCTCCCCACTTCCAGAGTGGCGGGTAAGTGCGAGGTGTGCACGACACAGGGGTTTAAAGTGCCCTAAATTGAAGTAGTGGGTTTAAAAATCCACCGCTTCCATTTAGGACTCCTATTTTGTCTATGCACACAGGTAGATGGCAGTCTCTAGGCATGTCCTGCTTAGAAGGTAAAATGGTATTTCTGTGACCCCCTTAGGGACACCTGCTGTGGATTATACATCTTCAGTACCTAGCTGTGTGCACAGACCCCATCAGACGCCATGCATTTTCTCCAATGCCTGGCTCACCCACACAGCAGGTTCAGTGCACGCCTGTTGTCTTAGGCCATGGTGCACCTGCCTAAGTGGGGCACAGGCTGGCAGCTGGTAGAAGAAGAATCCGATAGATGCTTCAGTGGGTTGAACACTGGCCTCCAGAACGTGGGTTCCCATTTCCAAGCAGATGATTTATTTGAGTAAGCGATGAAATGACTGCCAGCATGCTGCACCGCAATCCATTTTGTACTTCAGACTGCTGGCCAGGAAGCAGCGTCTCCTTTTAGCGCACATGAAGTTTAGTTTCAAACACTAATATTGACTTTATGACTGCCTGACTTAATTAGAGCACAGACAAACAAATGCTTCATCACTGAGAAAATCTGAGCTCAAGTCAGTGCTGCAATTTTCTTGCCAGGCTGGTTTGGATTCTGCTGCTGCTTGCTTTGCCTCTCTGCAGGCGCATCTACATGAAATGCTACTGCTACCATGCAGTGACTATACTGCGCGGTCACTTAATACTTGCTTATGCTAGTACTGTGCAGAAAGTAGTAGATGTGGTGCAGTAGGAGATGTGGCCTGTGTTTGGGAGCATGGCTAGTATAGGCACCACACATTACAAGTGCACTTCACTAATTTTGATGTCTACAACCACTTGTGAGCTTGGGATTCCTCTCACTGCAAACCTCGCTCAGATGTGGAATGACAGGTGTGTTTCTCATGCTGTGAAAAAGATAGGGGGAAAAGGCCTATCTTTCTGCTGTAATACCCTCTTAATTCTTGGCCGATAGTTCTTGTACCCAATCATTCTTGTGCATGATATCTTTTATTGGACCAATTGTATGGTTGGTGTAGACGTAGGCAAGCTTTTGGGTATAATAGTACCCTTCCTCGGGTATCAGTGGTTCAAAGACATCACCCACAGGAATTTTTGCCCTTTTCATATCTTCTGGACCATCATGGCAGCAACATCACCTCAACAAAGCCTGCATGGCTACCTTCGACTCATTCAGCCTGTGCTCATAGGTTTGCTAGGGATCCACTATCTGCATTGAATGGGGTGGGGGAATGCTAAAGTTCAAGGGTATCACTGGGGGAATCTCTTGTTGTTTCATGCCTTGTGAGTTGTTTTGCCTTTTATTGGAAGCCTCCCTGAGCTTCTGCTGGGAGAGGGCTATATAAATCCAATGAACAAAAAAACAACAACAAAAAAAATGTCAATGCTAATGTCAAGTTTTAAAAAACCCATGATTGGTCCATACATAGGCTAAAGTCTTCATGAAGATATAACCTGAGTAGGGTCTGCAAGACTGAGCCCACTATTTTTATACATGCCCTTATAGGATTAGCTCCTTATTCTGTAATGAAGTGAGATCTGAACATACCTGTGGGAGACAGGAATCTCTAACTTTGAATAATCCCAGCTCTGCTTCTGACTCCTTCTGCACCACTGCCATTTATGAGGTCCAAGTTTTCAGAGTGTTTGGGGTGACCAACCCATGGCACGCATAGCATAGGTGACATGGGCAGCCTCCGTGTGTGGCACGTGCCAGGTCAGGCAGCGCCATGGCAGATAGAACAAGAAGCAGAAAGCAGAGCAGCACATTGGGGAGGGAGCACAGGGCAGGGAGCAGAAAGCAGAGTAGCAGATTTCATAGGGGAAGGGTATAGGAGTGGCACTTGGGGATGGTGAGGGGCTTATTTCTGGCACACCTGTTGGTTAGCCTCTATTGGTTTAAGAAAGGTTGGGCCCTATTGGTTGAAGTTGACAGATATTGCAGTTCTGGATGAGGCCAGATATTCATTCAACCCAGTATCTTAAGGCTGGTTTTCAGCCATTCTGATGGTGCACAGCTTCCATTGACTTCATTTTGGAGCTTTTGGTTTTCAATACCTCTGAATAATCAGACCATTCTTATTAAGATGTCCAAGGGTGGGATTAAAGGGCTTAACTTTACATTTGAAAAGGTTGGTGTTGCTATCTATATCCTAGTCTCCTCATGTGAGATAATATCTGGGCATCTTTTGAAAAGTAACTCTGAGAACTCTGCAATAAAGAGTATCATGTACCTCTATTAAATTTTTTTGTTGAACTTAATGGTTATTATTAGAAGAACATCAGGAAGCCTAGAATTACAGCTCTTTTCCTGGGACTTTGCTATGGAAAACCCATGACCACAAGAATGCACCTGTAGGATTATATGAAGTTACATAAGATTTAGCAATGGTTTTTGCTGGAGTTTCAGACACCATGGAACAAAAAAGAAATAATTTTTATACTGCATTGCATGTAGGTCAAAAACAAAACACCCCCTGGGAATCTGAGTGTAGCACCAAACTATGCTCTACATCAAATCAGAAATGGTTACCTTCACACCTTGCTAACTAAACTCCCATGTCTTTGTGAATCCCTCAGGTCTCGTTTACACCGTTGCTGTCATGACAGGGGACATCAGAGGTGCCGGCACTAACTCTAAGATCCATGTCACCCTGCATGGCTCAAAAGGTTTAAAGAATAGTGGAAAGATTTTCTTGGAAGGAGGCGAATTTGAACGTGCCAGGACAGATGTATTTCATATTGAGATAGCAGCTCTTCTCAGCCCTCTGAGCAGAGTCACCATTGGGCATGATAACTGTGGTGTCAGTTCTGGTTGGTATTGTGAGAAGGTGAGAGCAGGTCATTTGTCTTTGGGCGGCAGTCACATTGCTTTCCGTTCAAAACCTGCCCTGCAAAAGTAAATCATTTGAAAAATTCTGGTTTCATTTGCATCAAGGTGTCCCCAGTTTAGCACGTCAATAATATACCTAATGCGTGCTATGCAACTGATTGCCTTGGAGGCACGTTATATACATAAATAAAATGCACTTTAATTGGGTTGATTGCTCCTTTGCAGACACAGAGATAGGGATTATTTTCTGCTTGGCATTAAAACACCTTCTGATGTTTGCATAAGGGGCATTGCAGACATGCAGTTTTGTCTTTATTGCGTCAAAGTTAGGATCCAAGTATTTCAGATACTGTTTTGATCATGGCTCCAGAGTAAGCAGAGTGGCTGGTTAGGGGTTCAAGTTTGGGCTGGTTTCTCTTTAACCGTGGCAGGATGTACAGTTTTCTGGGGAACTAATGTGGTTTATCTGGGAGACACTGGAACTGTTTTATCACTGGGGTCTCCTGAGAAGCACCAAAGGGTTCTGCAACCAGTCCATTGGCATCACTTCATTTAAAGTGAAGGAGACACAGAACGGGTCCTTGCCATAAAGCAGGTGTCAGTATTACATTGTTCACTGACTCTAGTGGCCATTGGTACTTCTTTTAACTCTACTCCCCATACCAGTGAACCATTCCTCCTCCCTTCCCCTCTCCCATCCTATATCTAGGCTTGGCAGGGTTCAATTTTTATTTTTTAATAATTTTGACAGATAATATCAATTTTATTTTTAAGCATTTACTTCCATTTTTAGTTATTATTTTTTGTCAGGATTGCATGAAATTAGAGGTGTGGGGGGAGAACATTTATTAATGACAGTATACTATTATTATAGTGGAGTTTAACTGCCTGCCACGACAAACGTAGCCACTATAGGACTGCCACCAGCTGAGTGACAGAGCTGGCATCTGTCCCAGCTCTGCTCACCCCTAGCTCTTTCATCTGCGTTGTCACTTCCTTTTCCTTTGTTCCCAGTCCCCTGGGGTTTCTGGGAGTTGCAGTCTGAACCAGTCAGCACACTTCTGTAGGACTATTCCTCCTATGTTCACACACTCCATCAGCCATCACTTTTTTTTACGTCCCCTTTCTATACATTTTGATTATTAATGATGGAAATATTTTTTGTTGGGCTGTGTGAGGTGGAATCAACATTTATCAATGTTTAATGATAAAAATGAAATCCTGCTCAGCCTACCTATGTCTTGCTGCAGCCTTGAACTGTGATGCTTTGCCTCTGCTTGGCCAGCCCACTTCAGTCCATCCCAAGAGGGGTCTTCTGGGGAATAGGGGTGGAGGGAAGAGGGCCACCCGTTGTACCCATAACTGGGAGCAGAAAAGACCTTGCCTTACTGCTTGACTCCAAGAATTCCTTGCTCATTTGTCACCTAGGTTAGTGCTGAGGCCACTGTGAAAGGATATTGGATAGCTGGACTTATTCTCTTGGGCTTTTTTCCCTAGGTGGTGGTTTATTGCCCATTCACTGGTATTGAACAAACCTTCCCCTGTGTGAAATGGCTGGATGAAGATGAAGGAGACGGCCTGGTGGAACGGGAGCTCTACGAAATGGTCTCCCTGCGTCAGAAGAGACTAAAAAGTATGTGCAGGGGATGGAAGAGAACGGCAGATTTTCCCTGTCCTCTTTAACCTTGCAGTGTTTTGCATGCTGCTTACTCTGACACAATACAAGCAGATTCTTCTGCAAGGCAGAGATGTCAGTGCAGTGATTAAGGCTCTCAGCTGTAGACTCTAACTTCAGCTTTGAGACAATGAGGTGAACAGGGACTTGGGGAGTTCAGGAAATTCAAGCAATTCTAGGCTTCAGGTCCATTACATCTAGAGCTCTTCCCACTGTACCGTTAAATCCTACCTTGATTGCAAAGTTGAATATCTTCTGTAAAACAGAACAAAAAGCCCCAAGGAAATGTAACATCCAGTAAAAGAAGGGGTAGGAAGAATAAAGAATAAACAAACTTTTGGGGGGGCTTTTTTTGTTCTTGAATTTACAAAGATTTTTTTCCTGGTATGTGGGCCAAGAGTAAAGAAAGCATGAGAGTATTTTGCAATCTTGGGTAACTGCAGAATGCATTTCCTTGGGTGCATCTACATGTGCATATTAATGTGAAGCAATAAACTCCTGAGCTTATTGCTCCAGAGTTTATTGCACTGGGCGTGTCTTTCGCAGATGTGCCCGGGACCTCAGCACATTGAGCTGGGTCAGAGCAGCCCTAGCTGGCAGGAGAGCATGCCAGCCCGGGGCTGTTCACCTCTGCTCAGCATGGTGTGGATGGGCTGGTTGGGGCACAAGGGCGCTTCAGCATGGGGTTACCTGGGATGCAGTCCCTGCAATGAAGCACTCTCATGCAGCATCTACACATGTGCTGCTGTGGAGTAAATAACTCTGCAGCAGACTAGTACTGTATTTTCAAATACTATCCTGCTGCAGGGTAGATTAGTTTACTCCAGCCTAATAGGGGTGCACATGTAAATGTGCAATATTTACTACACAACTAATTAGTCTACTGCACAGTAAACGTCTTGCATAGATGGGCCCCTTGAGTGCCAAAGTTAAGCATCAGAGGGAGGAATGCTCACATGGATTTGGTTAAGTAAGTCCAGTGGAGTGTAGGACATTGCACTCACCAGCCACTTGCATGTCTAAATCTGTTGGGGTTTTTTTGCAATGTGCAGCAAATTCCTCTACCACATCTGCATCAATAGAGACAGGTCAGCAGAAAGTTTTAATTAACTGAATAGATGCTGTGTGAGGGGGTGAAGTGGCTGTTATGGGGATTCCTTGGGGTTAAAAATTCCCTGAGAACACAGGGGCCCGGACTCGATAGCCCAGGAAGCCTCTTCCAGTCCCCTGCTCCTAATTAGGATGTCTCAGTGGGTTCCTCCTCCTCCTGTTGAAGGAGCATTTCCATGTAAGCAAAGTGCATTTAATAGCACTTTATACCATCACTGCCTCGGGTGTTTGACTTGGTCTGGACTCTAGTTTGCTAAAGCATGTATGATTGCTATCCCTGTTTTATCAACTGTGATTAATATAGGGAGGGGGACTCCCTTGTTGCTCTCCTGTGGAAGGAGGTCAGAAAATGCTTTTGCTGAGAACTCAGGGACAGTGAAGTGTTCATATTTATGGAACGGTTAAACCTAGAGACAAGAAGGGCCTCTTATATCACCTTCCCTTCTCGTAGAGGTGCGAGATTGTTCCCTACTGAACGGTTCATAGAGCTTTGTCCAACCCATTTTTAATCTCCATAGTGATCAGCTTCTTGCACAGCATTAGGAAGGAGACTCCTTGGGTGGCCACCCAAAGGTTTCTGTCCTAGTGAGCCACCAAGCTCATTGAAAATGATGGCAAATTCTTGGGTGCATCCTAATCTCCTCTATTAACTGTAGAGAAGCTCCTGCAGGGCTCTCGGCTTGGTTCCTTCTTTGCTCCCTTTACTACTTTGGCTGCGTTCACTCCTATGGTTCTAGTTGCTCCATATATATATGTATAGATCCCTAGTCTAGCTCTTTCCATATCCCCCTGCCGGCTCTTACCTCCCTTACTGCCCCTTTCATAGTGGGGAACTTTCCATAATTGAGCTTCTTATCTTCCCCCAACCTCTGCTTCCTCCTCTCCTATCTCATCTAGAACCACTGCTATTTTTTATGCCTCACAGGCTCATGGCCTCCATGTAATCTCTGACTTTTTGTCCCCGCAGCATACCTAATAAGTGTTATTTCTCAGTATAAGCCATAGCCTCTCCTTTCCATACTGTCCCAATAGTTAAATCCCTGACTTCTCTCCAGTTTCACTGACACCCATGTCCTTCTTTCGGTCCTTCTAAGATCCCTTCACTGAAGCCACTCACCTCACCAACCAGTGTCTCCTTCTAATATCACATCACTGGCCTCCCATCCCTTTCTCCATTTAAACTTTAGCTCAGATTCAAGACTCTCTATCATCTTACCTCTGCTTGACTTGTCTGCTTGCAGAGCTGGTTGATTTTTTAAAAATTTTAATTAAAAATTGGAAGGGGAGGGAGGAGTTGAAAATATTTAATGAATTCCCCCCCCCCAACCCCCTTTTTGTTTGACCAGCTCTCTCCATTATAATTCTTCCAACTCCCTACTGGGTAGGTCAATGAGAAGTTAATTTATATGCACATCATGGTATTTTCATACGCAACCTGGGATCTGTAGGTCAAGCTGTGTTCGTTCTGGCTCAGGCATCATCAGAAGGTGGAAGGCTTCTATAATTAGAGCTTCATTAATAATTCTGTTGCCACCTCCACCAGGAAAGCATCCCATCCCATCTCCCATAGGGGCAGAGTCTGCAGGACCTCTAGAAGAGAGAGCACAAAACCATCACTGAAGTGAACAGCTTCTGCTCACACACAAGGAACAGCCGCTTGGGGGAAGTGGGGTCACTTTTATGACAGCAACTGCCCTTTCATGTGAGCAACCAAGTTGCTGTGTGCATGCAGGGTGGCAAAATAGATGCTGAGACTCGGGAGGGTGGAGTTCATTTTGCATCTCCTTCTGCATGGCTTTTTGGGTACGTTATTTATGATAAAAAATTCCCAAATGCCTACTTGGACGTCTATGGGATTTTGACTGCTAAATCACATGAATGCTGCAAAAATGTAACCTTCACCCCTCACTTTGTCTGTTCCCCAACTATAAAAACGGAGTCAATAATACTTCCCGGCTTTAGAGTGGCACTTTGAGGATAAATCCACAAGTACAGGGGATGGATGTATGAATGCAAATATGTATCCAAAACTTTCTACACTATGGCTGCAGAAAGCCATAGTGGTACCTAGGTAGATGGCATAGTTTATATAACAATATTTCTCATCTAGAAGACAGTGAGTTACATTTTTCCATTATAATTTAAAGGGGCATGTGTATGGTATCTCCCTCTCCATGTCCCATACCTCACACTGAGAACAGGCATGTCATTCCCCGTAGCATCATATAGCTGTGTCTATGAAGGTCACAGTATATATGCATTATGTATATGCCCAAGAGGACAAAAGGCTCCAGCCTTCCTTCACATAAATATCTGGCCTCCTCCTGGGCTAGTGAAGTTAAAAGAATGGGGTTTTTTCTGTTTGTTTGCTGCTTTGTTCAAAACCATTTTGTTTGTCCTCCATAGAAAACCCCTGGTCTCTTTGGATCTGGACAAGTGACATTAAGAATGCGGGGACAGATGCCACCGTCTTCCTCCAGGTTTATGGGGACAAGGGGAAGTCAGATACAATTAAACTGGACAGCAAATCAGATGACTTTGAATGTGGACGGACTGACAAATTTGTGGTAGGAGCTTAGTGGGTGTGGTGGAAGGGCTTGGCTGTGGTTAATCTGGGGGCTACTATCACTCCTATGCAGAGGGGAACAGCATCTTTTAAAGGTGTAAACAGACACGGTAAATGAAGCAGATCGCCTGTGCCAGGATTTGTCCCAGCACAGCTGATCCACTTGACTGGGTGAAATACATGCCATGGTCCCACACTGGGCAGGGGCCTGATCCTGTGGGACAACACACAGCATGTTCTTTTTGTGCAGATGCACGCCTCGGAGATGCCCTGGGCATCTCTCTAAGGGGTACCCCA